ATGCGTGAAACTTTGTGTGCTATTTCCAGTGATCACAACTGACATATTCATGTTAGGAAAGAGTGCAAGAATTTTCCGCGCAAGATTCCTTTAATGATGAGCCTTGCTTGTGGCAGGACATCTACTCTCGCAAGGAATAGAGTTTCACCCGCACCGAGCAAAAGTTGCCCTCCAACAGGATGGTGCTTACTACAAAACTAGCAGCGATTTTTTAGAACTAGGAGCCTAGAAAAAAGTGCATAGTGATTGCGAAGAGGAGGTCAAATATTTATAATGGGCGGGGTCTGCGCCGAGGCGGGAGGAGACTTAAATTGGAAAGGTTTCAAAAAAAGGGTTTCGAGACATTCTAGACATTGTAGGAGACCGGTACAATTGAATGGAAGCTGGTAAAGGAGCAAGATCAAAAGGTGTGGGGTGTGCCGCGGAAACTGACACTGGAAATCTTTGTTGTCCCAAGCCATATCTACGAGGCATTCTTGTGTGGCGACACTTTAACACATTCATGACGGCGCCCTTTTCCCGGGTACCCCCAGGAGGCCCGTCGCGCGGCAAGAAGGCAGAGTCGGCGGACGAGTTGCAGCGCGTGATGTGCGATGTAGGACGTGCAATGGGACACTCTATTTAACTTGACGCGAAATCCCTATAGTACGCGCGCGACTCGTCCGCTGACTTTGCCTTCTTGCCGCGCGACGGGCCTCCTGGGAGGGGGGGGGGGGAAGGGGTACCCCCTTTTTCCACACTTTTCGGTCGCGTGGGACGAACGCGATTTTGTGGGCGCCGCCGCCTCACCTCACATCCGCAGATTTTGTTTGTAAATGAACAAAAACATGAATGTCACAAAATAATTTCTGCAATGTCCAATGCGTAAAGATTATCTAAACATATAACAGTAGGATTTCGATCAGAACGACGAATAGTGGTAATGAAAAGGGAAGCATTCATTCACTTTCCTCGCACTGAAAACATTTTCAACTCGATTATTTCGGTTTACCCTCCATTCAAAGCGCTTTGTCTTTATTTCTAGCACTAATCAAGCCAAAAATTCATGCGGTTCAAAAATCTTTCTTGAAATAAAGCATATGCAGGGTTCATCTTTCATTCGCTAGTATCAGATATACACAAAAAATGACGATATAAACGAGTGGCAAGCGATTGTTAGCTGGCAGTCCGTATAGACTGCCATCGTCCTACGAGCGCTTTTCTTTGGCAGGGCCACATGGGCTGCCGCTGGCGTGAATATGTCAAATTTCTGGGTCGAACTAGTACTACGTTGATCGATAAGAGTTTATTTACACTTAGTACATACATAGCTATTGCTGTTCAAATTTGCCGCGGTAGTGACAGACGGAGGTGGCGTTGATCGTACTGAAAGGGACAGCAGCACCGGTAGGACGAATAGTCCATGTATAAGACCTGAAACCAAGGTAGGATTGATTTGTGTGGTTCACTACAATTTTGCACTTATTACAGTACACAAGAGAAATGATCGGTCTGGTTTCCACAGTATGTCTGCAATCATCCTGTATCCTTTATCACGTTTTAGCCAATAAACGTGTGTCCAGCCATAACAACCTGTATGGCACAGAATAAACAGCTCCTCGCAAACTCTTTGTACGGGTAAGTATAGGCAAGTGTTGACTGAGTGACGTTGTTGGGTCCTTTCCCCAATCATGTTGCCGTGAAGGCGAGAGGGAAAACCCGTCACGGAAATCGAACCAATTGCCTGTGCCTGTGAGGCTGACCGGACGACCGCTCGGCTGCTCTTATTTTGTTGCATAACTCCTTTCGATTGATTAGCAGAGCGTTTTGAGATCAGCGTACGAAAACCCATCTAACAGTATGTGTTTCATTGCATATGGCCCCAATTTTTGACCGTCATCATCTTTTCCTGGTTAGTCGGGGCTGTGATTGATTTCGTGGGACTCTAGTGATTTCGTATTCTCATCCTTAAAGGAATCTTGCGCGGAAAATTCTTGCACTCTTTCCTAACATGAATATGTCAGTTGTGATCACTGGAAATAGCACACAAAGTTTCACGCATGAAGATTCGGTTTCTGAAGAGAAACAAACGTACAAAAACTACACGTTATGGACCATCGAAGGACAGGAGGCAGAGCCAGGCGAGGCATGGAAAGAAGACGGCGTTTGGCCGGCTACGTACCAGGCGACGCAATGAGAGAATCGGGTTAAAGCGCGCGATTTCGGAGAGTGGAGACAAATCGATCGATGGAATAGGATGGAGTAGAAGTGTAAGATGTGAATGCAACGAAGCAGAAGGCCAGAAAGAGCTTCTAGTGAATGCACTCCAAGAACCAAGTTTGAGCATCCCCGTCGCCAGCATTCGTGAAAGACGTCCGTGGGCAATTCGAACGCGTAGCAGCCTTTTCGAGTTTTCGAATTTCTAATCAAAACGAAAGCAATACTTCAGTTCTTTTCACTATTATCGTGGATAATGAGTCTCAAGCCAGTGATTTATGGCTGAAATAGAATCATGATTTTTCCGCGCAAGATTCCTTTAAAAACCTGTCATTTTGGGCCGTTCTCGTTGCGAGCCCTTCTTTTCCGATCACGCGCAATAATCCCCGATTCCAGACGTGGTCACACTTCACGTAAATTTCATTCGCTAAAAACCAATAGCAACTCCGCAGAAATTAACAGCCACCTGTTCCCCGTGTTCTTACCTGAATCACCTGATGAGCAATGATCGGGAACCAAAAGTATATTTTGAATACTAGAAAGAGCGGCTATTTTTTTTTACTATTTAAGAGGGACTAATCCATTTGGCCCAAACCGAAGCCCTTTTTGGAAACCCGTTGAAAGAAGAATGCTACGACTCTTGTTAGTGTGAGGGAGACGTGTTTGGAACCGAGGACATTTGGACAATTCGCGGTCAGTCAGGCTCGTGTGTTTTTCTTAACGGTACAAATCAATGGCTTCTTGCGGCTGTTAGCGCCGTTGGGCTTTATATATAGCATCTTAAGAGTTGCCCAGCCTGAATATCGACCTGATGAGCATTGGCATTTTCCCTTCGTGAAACAAAAAAAATTGGAGAAAATGAAATCCCCAGCAAAGTAGCTTAGTGAAACGCCCGAATGTAAAGGTCGGTGAATAAATCGGGAAAATTGTGCCTGAAAGGCATTATCGGGATATGCGCTGCCACTGATCATTTTTGCTTGCACAAATATCAACCTACCTATGCCCACAACGATGAAGATTGTCTTTGCAAAAGCGTTGATTGCGTATGTGGGCACGAAAATTAGTGGCAGCATACACAGGAACGTGGATAGGCCAGCCTAGGACATTATCGGTACGGCTATGTTTATCAATACAATTATCTGAGTAGCGCGACTAGCTGCCTACCCTGCACCATGGGCGCTGCCATTTCGCGCAAACTATTCGTAAGTCGCTCCGTGAGCTCCTCCTGCGCTGAGCCATGAGATCGGTAGAACTGGTAGGCAACATGAGCGGTGTAGTCCACACTGAAACGATTAAAATTCGTACTGCATCTGCAGTTACCCAAGAGCGATTTTTTTGGATTAGTGTAGAAAAGAGAAAATCTCTCGAATGAAATGGTGGCAAGGGAAGGCATTCAAGTTCCCATGGAACTTTGAATTGAGACCCAGATATATCGATAGAGCTTCAAACGCTGATTACAAATATGGAAATAAAACTGCAAAATGAACCTGCCAAGGAAGTTGTGAGCAGTCAAAGTTGGCTGGAAATAAAGCGTTACATATGAAACGTGCTACCGTCCGGGCATTTATAGTTGCCGTGGATACGGAGCTCTCGATATTTGCACTTCAACTAAAAGAGAACTCATGACCTACCGGCTGGAGAGCGAGAGCACTACCACTACTCCACGGCGACTCTGAAAGCCTGGAGGCTAGTGTAATGCTTTACTTCCAGCCAACTTTGACTGCTCACAACTTCCTTGGCAGGTTCATTTTGCAGTTTTAGTTTCCATATTTGTAATCAGCGTTTGAAGCTCTATCGATATATCTGGGTCTCAATTCAAAGTTCCATGGGAAGTTGAATGCCTTTCCTGGTAAGGAAAAATGAAAAAAACAGGCCTTTGTTAGTTTTAGTTTTAGTCAGACCGTGAACTAAGGCAGGCACCCACCTGAATCCAGTGGCAAGAAGAACGTCCACTTGTGTCACCGGATCAAGATCCGCTCCCCACCATGACAATAAACCGACCAGAACCTATAAATAACTCAGTCAATCTCGCAAAGTTCGCCAGTTAATGTGGTAGTTGTGCTTCGGTTGGAGAAAGGAATGCAGTAGTACCCCGCGCCGTATACCTGTATCCAGGGCATAGGAAAATAGTCGCTCTCCTCTTCAGAAAGGGATTAATAACATCTTGCTGAAATCAAGCCAACTGCTCCTAACTGAAACTTGAGGAACCACATTCAAATCTACCAAAAAATTGCAACAGCTTTCTACATCGGGAACTTCTGGAGGTTTTCTGTGGAACGTGTTGCACAGTTCGAGCTCAATGAGGTCTTTGACGGATGAAAAGGATAAAGCATTTGCCGTTGATCAATCCCTTTTGGGATGCGGCACGCATTCTACTTCCATTTGTACATTCGTAGTGGCGTTTGAATGCCAACCGATGTAGAAGTCACTATTTTTATCCTCCCAGGCAGTACCAATTAACCGACCCCGGAGGGATGGAAGGCTTGGTTGGCCTGGGCGACTCAGAAATTTGATCCCCGGACCGCACGGGTTAAGCAGCGCCACTTGCCACTACACCACCTCCGCCCTCTTCGACGGATAGTAGACCATTATGACGACATATGACAGGCTGATCGGAAGGGGTCTTGCATAGGCAAAGCTGTAGTCTTAAGAAAGCTGATCCACAGTAAATTGATTGGAGAAATCGTACAACAGCTTCAGACTGGAGCGATTACAGTAGGCCTCCTTGAGCTCGAAGGCGATAGCAGATGACGTCACAACAACGTCATATTTTGGAATGGTGAGGAAGGTGAGGAAGGCCTGCTTCTGCGGGACCAATTAAAATTTAAAGTAAAATTTTTATCAACGGCTACATTCTTTGTGGCGAAGAGTTCGCTGATTTGAACCACGGGCTAAGTTACTTTTTTGCCGCCTCCCCCCTGTATATGTGTTAATGTGCTCCA